TCTCGGCTTGACAAAGCCCTGGCTGGGTTGATTTAGTTGGGATTGGTCCTGCCTTGGGCAGGGGGCTGGACTTGATGGCCTCCTGAGGTCTCTTCCAGCTCTATGAGTCTATGATTCTAAGGTGCTGATGGCCTATCAGTCAAAGGTCACCAGGTCCTTTCTTATCTACTTACAAACAGGACTTTGCTTAAGGCAAAATAAATAAAATGTTATTTGCAAATCTCAGTTCAGCAACTCGTCCCTCCATTCCCCGCCCCCGCAAACACTGGCAACCAAGGGAGATGGGAAACGACCCACCTCGACTCACCTCAGGTAACCGCAGAACTTTGCAGTACTTCACGCCATTCCGCAGTCTAAGAGAAAAAGAGGCGAGTCCGCCATGAGCACTAAGGACAGAGAACCCCATGCTAAGCTGGGAAGGTCACATTCGGACCCAAATCCTTTGAACTCCATGGCAAAGGTGGAATGGACTTCAGTGAGAGCAGCCTCCCACCATTCACCAGAACATGGGCCACTGCCTCACCTCGCCATTCTCCTACAATTCTCCTCAGTCTCTCCTCAGTGCCCCCAATTCACTCCCCTCCTTTTTTGCTTTTCCAGAGCTGCCACTTCTCCTCCCACTAGTATCCAGCCACTCCGAACTAGGCCTTTCAAAGTAATTTTCAACCAGAACTCAACACCTCCCAGTTTAGCGGGCTGGTTAGCAAAGGGGACATTCGGCCACCGGGGCGGGAGAGGACAGTCAGTTGAATCGGAGAGAAGAGGTTAGTGGAAAAGCACAACATGGAGGACACGGACTTACTTTTTACACCGTTCACAGCTGTACATGTTGTCCCCTGTCGAGGGAAAAGAAAGGTATTGCGACGTTACTGACAGCAGGAAGCTCGGGGCTGCAGTCCCAATGAGGAAACAAACTCTCCTTCCACATGGGGAAGCCAGCTAACGTGCCTGCCTCGCAGAAGTAAAGTAGACCTGGGCAGAACCTCTCTGCCCCCTCCAGGCACGGCACAGGCAGCAGCCAGCCACCACGCATGCAACGCAGCACTGCCTACCAAGGTGGAAGGGAACCCACTTAGCCCTCCCAAGAGTGGTTAGTGTGTGGCTGGAGAGGCCTCTTCCCCCCACAGTTAAAGCAGGGATGGGTGGAAAGAGGCTCAAAAACTTCCTTTCTACTCCTCAAATTAACACGAGCAAACTGCGTTCAGCCCCTCTGCTCCCCATCCCCAGGCTAACACCACAGGAGCCTGCTCTGCAGAGACACCTGCACAGCCTCCTTCTGCCTCCTTGGGGAGGGCTCCTGGCAGGGAACCTGCTACACCAGCGATGGGCAACCTAGGCTGGCGAGTGGGCCGCACGAGTGGCCCTTCATCTCAATGGGCCGCAAAAGGGGTATAACTAGGACCGTCTCCCAGAACTGGGTCGTTTTGGCAACTGCGCTTATGTGCTGAGAATTTGCAGGGGCTGCCGACTGAACCGGAGCAGCGCTTGGACTGGATGCAGAGGGAGCACTTGGCTGTGAGCAGTCAGCACACACCTCACTTCACATGCCCTGGCTCTGCGTGTGCCACTTCTGTAATACTGGTAGGAAAAAACGACACGGATGGAAACCAGCAGAATCCTGCACCCCCGTGTGTGGGCAACGGTAACAAAATGTCTCACAGGCCACACACAGAAGCCAGGCAGGCCGCAGGTTGCCCACCGCTGTGCTACACAAACACAGAATGCAAGGCTTGCTCTCCTCGGCTTCTGGTGTGACTGGGGTTACCCAGACTCCTCAGCTGGGTATGCAGAGCTGGGGCAGGCTCCTTGTAACACTTCCGCACTGCAGCACTCACCCCGCACAGAACCCCTTGGGACCAGGTCCCTGGGAAATGTCTAAAGCATCCACAGCCTGGGTTTCGGAGCACTCCCTGCTACATGGATCAGGTCCAAAAGCTCTAGCATACCGTGCGGGCCCCTGCTGCTGCAGCCAGCACAGCCTGGCTACTAGGCCCAATGGCCCATTTATCATCCCTGAATACAACAGAGAGAGGAGCCAGAGCAAATGTCACAAATCCAACCAACCAGGCAGTTTACTAGCAACCACCACAACACCCTGCAAGTAATGCAGGAAACAAGCAGCGCAACCTCACCCCGCGCGGGCACAGCTGAGCCTGCCAACCCCAACTTGTTCTTCCGGCCCAAGAAAGTCCTTGCCTAGACTAGCCCCAGGCTAAGGCCTCTCACCGCACACAAAGGGGACGACAATCTTGTCTGTTTGCTGAGCCCACCATGCCCTGGCTCCAAACCGGAAGCCCAGCCCCTGAGTAGCTGGTGAATACTCATTCCTGCCCCAGCGCGGCCAATTCAGGAGTGCAGCTCCCAGCTAGACCCTGCCAGCAGCTTCGATTTGCTCTAGCAATGCACCTGGGAGGGTTATTGACAGCTCCCTCGGGGCAAACAAAGACAACATATGCCAGCCCTTCCCAAGCTCACCTTTCAACTCATCGGCAGCAAAAAAGGCAGCAAGACAGTCCTCCAGCGTGACCACAGGACCCCAAAACCAGCTGGGGATACAGGACACCACAAACCTGCAGAAGGCCGGGGTCATGCAAGAAAGAGATGCAACTCTTACTGGTGAGCTATACACTTTGCTTCTAAAGTTCCCCATTGTAATCACAGATGTTGTACAGTCAGGCCATTATTACTGAACACGGTTGATATATTTAACACAACTGAAACTAAAAATATGTTTTGTTGAACTAAACGAAGAGGAGGTTAGCACAGCTGTGGAGACGGATTCCTGGCTAGGCACCTTCATTTTCTGCAACGACTCTATTATGCAATGATGTCCAATATTTGTTTCTCTCTCCTCCACTTCCCTCTGTAAAGAATCCTGAGCATGTAACGTCACGTGCAAACCCAAGGAGGGAGAAAAACTGCATAAGGAGGCCCAAGGGAAACACACCTCCTGATGTACTCCATAATGAAAGCAATCCAACCCTGCGAGGAGTAGTTGTCCCCGCATGCTCCTGGCTTAGCTGGCACATTTTGGTAAATGGCGGAGTGCAGCTTGGCCAAGTCCTCCTTCCCAGGGATTGGCAGAGACAGGTCCTGGAACGTCTCCACTGTCGTGGATACCTGAAGACATGCAAAAAAGGGCTCCTAGCGCATGCAAAGGAGCAGATACCCAGCCCAGAACGTTTAGCATCACTTGGGCCCGGTTTCCTAGCGGAGAGGAAGTGCTGCTGACAGTAGTATGCCATTTTCAGCACTGCCAGTGGGAAGAGCCCGCCCCAGCCCCAGTCACGCTCTGACACATTGCTGAAATGATTTGATCTCGTCTACACTAGGATTAATCCTCACTCCCAAATGGCCACAGGGGCGTGCACATTCCCACTCCTAACCTCTTCATCTTCCCAAAAGCTAAGGTGCTGAGTTCTCCATAGAAAGCCCCCCGACCCCGCCCTGTCCAGCTCCCTCTATTTTGTTGGTTCCCTCACCGCATTTCCCCCTTTGCTGTGGTCAGCTCTCTGGTCAGACATGTACAATGGCTAAGCTAACTGAATGACACAGGATCAAGAGTCTGTATGGCACATACTCAATGACTTAGAATATTCCTATGCCTGGCAGGTTTCACACACGCGCAGTCATTTTCGTAGGGCCCTAGCACCCCAGAATATTTGGGACCAGCTCTGTTTCCCAACAAGAATTTGTTTAAACAAGCAGACCTTGCTGTTTTATTACTTGATTAAAAGCAGTAAGGAGACGCACTCTGTCGCACGTGAGGCATTGCACCAGGCTGAGAATGGAGCCATCAAAGATGTCAGAAATAACACTGCGGTAACGAAGCTCTTTCTTCTTCTTCCCAGAAGCCAGCACCTGGGCTGAAAAGAGACACGTAGCCCCATCACCGGCAAGCTCTCTCACATAGCTTGGGCAGAGTCCTGCCATCAAGCCAGGGGTAGGTCTCACCAAGAGCACAGCATGAGACACGTGTGTTTGCACATGCTTAGAAACCGACGGCCTGTCTCAGTCGGTAGTTCTGAACTTAAGCTTACACTAAGAACATCCTTGTGGCCGGTGAGAGCAGGAAGCTGGGTGTAACAGTCTGCACCGATGTAACGCACCAAGAATTGTGCCTCTGGAGGTGCTGTCTTTGTCTCCATCCTTCTCTAACACTGGCTCACAAGGACACGATGGGGCCAGGCCGCATTCTTGACATCTTTATTTTCTGTAGCACTTTCTTCATCCCTTTTTGGATTACCCCTCCCTCCTGGGATATTACGACTTTTCCCCTCTAGCCATCACCCAGATTTTCTCCATGCATTTCTTGACTCACAGAACGCAGCCACCGGCAGAACATGGTTGTTTTGTTTAAACAACAAACCAACCCCACAGAATGCTTTTTATCGGGCTAGAATATGTGCGTCTGGGTGCTGCCCTGCCTCTCTGGCTGAGGTCAGCCAACTTGGGAAGGAATGTTCTTACTGAACAGCTGCAGGGCCAGTGGCGGGGACACAAGCCCACTGTGTTTATGGGCTGTGGAAGGAGCCTGCGTTTGGCTTTGTGATTTTTTTTAAATAAAGCAGAAGGCAGCCAGGGTTCAACTTTTTAACCTCACAACAGTCACACACTAGAGGAATCCTTTTAACTTCAGTCCTGCTGGGAGTTTAAGAAATATGGCCACATCCATAAGAACGGCCATATTGGGTCAGACCAAAGGTCCATCTAACCCAGTATCCTGTCTGCTGACAGTGGCCAATACCAGATGCCTCAGAGGGAGGGAACACAACTGGTAATCTTCACGTTATCCCTCTCCTTTCACCCATTTACAGAGAAACAGAGGCTAGGGACAGCATTTCTACCCATCCTGGCTAACACAAATCTATCTAGCTCTTTTTTGAACCCTGTTTAAGTCCTAGTCTTCACCACATCCTCTGGCAAGGAGTTCCACAGGTTGACTGTGCGCTGAGTGAAGAAAAACCTCCCTTTTGTTTGTTTTGAACTTGCTGCCTATTAATTTCGTTTGGTGACCCCTAGTTCTTTTAATTTGGGAATAAGTAAATAACTTTTCCTTATTCACTTTTTTCCACACGTCATGATTTTATAGATTTCTATCATATCCCCCTTTAGTCTCCTCTTTTCTAAGGTGAAAAATCCAAGTCTTTTTAATCTCAATTCATATGGGACCCATTCCAAATCCCTAATAAATTTTGTTGCCCTTTTCTGAACCTTTTCCAATGCCAATATATCTTTTCTGAGACAAGGCGAACACATCTGTATGCAGTATTCAAGATGTGGGCAAACAATGGTTTTCTATAGAAGCAATAAGATAGTCGGTTTTATTCTCTACCCCTTTTTTAATGATTCCTAACATTCTGTTTGCTTTTTTGACTGCGACTGCATATTGAGTGGATGTTTTCAGAGAACTCTCTCTTCAACAGTCAGGTCTTTACCAGTAATGCTACCCTACAGTGCCTTGCCCGCATGTGCTGTGAAGTAGGGCTGTCAAGTGATTAAAAAATTTAATCATGATTAATTGCGCGATTAATCGCGTGCGCCTCCCCTCTGAAATGAGCGGCAGTGTTTCAACGGGGCAGCGCTGCATGGAGCCCGGGATCAGCAGGAGTCCCCAGCTGACCCTGAGCTCCATGCAGCACTGCCCCTTGGAAGCGTCGCAGCATTGTTTCCAAGGGGCAGCGCATTAGGAGCCTGGGATCAGCTGGAAACTCCAGCTGATCCCTGGCTCTGCTATTACCAAGCCCCTTTGAAGCACTGGAGCGGCACTTCAAAGGGACAGCACAGCATTAGCGCCTGTGATTAACATGTTAAAAAAATTAACGCGTTAATCCTGCCCTGTGTTAATCGCAGGTGTTAATGCAGGTCAACTGGCAGCCCTACTGTGAAGCTTAAGACTGACTAATCGCAGGTGTTAATGCAGGTCAACTGACAGCCCTACTGTGAAGCTTAAGACTGAAGGCCTGGGCTGCCCTCTCGCTTCAATGCAGAGTAGCCCAGGAATTCCCACAATCATTAGCACCGTGATACAGTCAAGAGACCCTTTCTAAAAGGTTTCTGGATGAATTTGGATAGGAAGACACATCTCTGTCCAAAACACACAGCCATGCTGAGACGTGCTCTCATGTATTTCCTAACTGGTTTAGTAGGACTCAGCATATTGATGGACTGTCAGCCACCTGTACCTCCCGTTTCTCCTCCCCCTCCTGCACAATTGCCCCATTCTCTGCATGCCCACCTCGGCCACAGGGCTGCAGTAGTTTCCCGTCTACCCTACCTTTTTTCAGCACATAGGAGGGTCCCAGTCGCACAGGACTGGAGCGAGGGGGGCTGCTAGACAGCTTGCAGTGCATCTCCTGGTGAGCTGGGCTGCAGGGGCGCGAGGAGCAGCGCACATAGGCATCGTTGTCTGGCTCTGTGTGGGAAGAGAGCATACCGGAGGAACATCAAGCGTGCCACCAAAACTGGACACCAATGAGCGCTGGCAGAAGACTAGCCTCTGAATCAGCACAACAAAGTCTTCCATGTTTGGGGAATTTCGTGTTCCCAGGCCAGCTCCACTCCACTGAGGACCTGATACCTGAGGAATTCAATCGGATACCACAAGAGAGACGGGGAACGCTGCCAGACAGAATGAAACAATTCAAGCCACCTCTAGGTCTGTTCCAAATCAAGAAGCTCATTCTCATACAATGGATATTGACAAATGCTCCCACATCTGCCAGCATTCCTCTGTCTCTGTGGCCCACAGGGCTGAAGGCTGGGTCACTGTCTTGGAATTGAAGCACGGAAGAGTCACATCTGGAGCACAGCCTTTCAATGCCAACTGTTCTGCAGAACCACATGGAATTTCTCCATGCTCCTACTCCACCGCTTAAAAATATTTGTAAAATGTTTACTGAGCAGCACTAACAAAGCTTTCTGTTTCCCTGTGATGGAGTGAGTGTGTACCCACACAGGCAATGAAAGGGTTAACCTGGGCCTGAGACACCAATCAACCCACTTGGCTGCACCTCAAGCGGAGCCATGCCCCATTCAAGAGGAGCCCCTGCTATGAGAGAACTGGGTGTACAAACAAAGCCTGCTGCAGAAGGGGCTGCAGGGAGAAGTTCTGCAATCACACTCTCGGACCAGAAAGATGGGGAAGATCAAAGAGGCGGGAGGATGGCCCTGAGATCCTCCCCTGAGCAGGGAAGTCTAGCAGATGACCAGGAGTTACATTTAACAGCACTGGGGATGCAGCAGGCTCTGGAGCTATGAGAATTGGGCAGGATTTGGACTTCCATGGAGGGGGCCCTGAGAGATGCTCAGAGGAGAAGCAGTGAGGGATGGAGGGACAAAGGGATTTACACTTCATATCTTTAGTTTGGTACTTTGCTGAGGAATTCCAAGGGAGAGCTCTGCCCTAACAGACAGGTGAACCTAGAGAGACTGCAAGGGAGGTCACCTGACAGGCGACAGGAGGAAGTCCAGGGAGACAGCAGCAGCAAGAAATTTGATGGAGCAAACCAGAGCTGCTGGGTATAGACTCCTGGATGCAATCCAATGTCAGGAGAGAGCCTGGGTTCTCCTGCTAGCCACTGGGCAAGGTGACACAAGGCCCCTCAGGAGGGACCAAAATGACAGAGATCTGGGAGAAGAGCATAAAGACAATGGGCCCCAGAAGTGGGTCCAAAGGTAGTTAGGAACATCAGACTATTTGTTGGACTTCCTGCTATCCCAGAAGGGGCAGGACGAAATGTAACCTGGCCAGAAGGTGGAGTCACAAGAAGAGAGACCACCAAGGGGCAAAAGTGTCTGTTGGCAGGGCGTGCTGGAGACAGAGCTGCTACTCCACACACTTAGCCATGAGGTGGTGCACCTGCCACAAGTCCACTTCCACACATCCCTTGTTACCTCCCTTTCTTTACCCCTCTTGGGAAGGTTTGTAAGATAATGTGGAACAAATATTTTTCCCTCAAGTAATTTTAAAAAAGTATGCAGGTCCCAGAGCACCCTCAGCCCATGCTCTTGTCTATCTAATGGGTTCCTGCATTGTCTGGTTTCTTTTTGTATGTCTTGTGTGGTTAGTAATAGTGGGGTTGTCATTAGCAACACAGCAGTTCACTTCTTTAAAATGTTGCTCTGGCATTAATGTAGGAAGTGCTAATCCTAGGACATAAAACACACTGTCTCTCGACAGAAGGGTTTTTGTTTTTCTTAATGATTGCATTTGGCCTAGTCAGTGTGTAACCCATGTTCCTTCCCATCATCGTATCGGCATGATGAAGTACTTCTCTGCTGATTTACCCAGGCACTGCTATTGTAGAAATGAAGCAACCTGTCCTAGAAGCAAAGAGCTATTCAAACCTGGAGTGGGAATGTCTACACGACTGTCTGGCAGACATCCCCCATGAGCATGCCCCAACATACGAATAGGACTCTGGTTCTTTTATATGGCATGACAGGAAAGCCGTATTAGTACCTGGTGTCCTACATGGGCTGGCAGGGCGGGGAGCAGGTAGGGTTTCAGGAGAAGCTCTGCCATCAATTGGCATCATGGTGGTATCAACATCTGCATCCTCATCAACTTGTTCTGAGTTGCTCCGCCGGTGACTGTAGGAGAACTTCCTGTCTTTCATCCTCTCTTTCTCAGAGATCCCTCTCCCGGCCTCATCCTGAATCAGCAGCTCTGTCTCTGCTAGGGAGCCACTCATGCCCCCTGTCCTGCCTTGCCCATCCATATCACCCCTGTCGCTGCTCGAATCACAAGAGAGGAACTCATCCTCCGAGGGGCTACGGTCACCTTCTCGCTTGTCATCTATGTCACTGGAGTCAGAGTCTCTAGCCTCAGCAACAACCGGTTCCTTTAGCTCTTCATGAAGCTGGTCCATTAGGCATCGCAGGAACTCTTGGGTGTCCTGAAAACCAAGGTAATCCCATGTTATCTACTGCCCATCTCAGGACAACACAACTACTCCAGTTTCCACTTAATTCATCTGTTGCCCACAAAAGTTAGCCACTTAAGGAATACAGGGAATCCCAATCAGAGAACACATGGATTTAGTGGTATGCAGTGGATGAGCAGAGGAATTCTGCCCATTTAAGTGACTGCTCTAACTCCTGGGGATTAGCATCCCAATGTGCAGCTAACTATTTCAGTTTCTGCCTTTTCTCCGGAGCATAGGAAGGATTCAGGATGGTCAAACTGGGCAGCTGCTTCAGATCTTAGAAAACTGCTTTGTTTATTGGGATGTCAGCACTGAAAGAACATGGAAAAATCAGGAAACAGACAATCAAGATAGTGGGCTGGAAAGAACAGTACAGTCTGTGCTGCAAAAACAATTTTCATGCTCCACTGACATCTCCTCATACACCAATCATGACATTAAAGTCCTTTGTTGCCAGAGATTAGAACTAGAAATCAAAGACAAATTAGCCAGGGTGAGGGCCTCCTACATGGTCCAGGAAATAATGGAGATTACTGATAAGGGACCTCCCAAAGAACTACTTGGGGCCCTGACAGCTCTCAGCAGTTAAATTTTGAAGACCTGTGAGACATTATGGAAGATTTGGCTTAAAATATCATCAGCTCTTCAGTTTTAAATCTTTATTGCTAGAATTCTAATCCAATGCACTTTGCATCGAGAGCAAATATAACAGCTCTGGTCTTTCTATTTCAGCAACTGGTCCTTTTATCATCATGTTTTCACTTGCTACCAGTATCATGGCTTAAATACACTAGTGTCTGTGTTGTTGGTTAGAAAACAGAGAGAGGGACACCACTGAGGGCTAAATTTGTAAAACTGTTATTAGTTTGCGTGTTTGTTTACAGTGGAGTACTCTTCCCCCCTAAAAAGAGACATGTTCTTTTAAATTGGGTGCTCAGAAGGATGTGTGTGAGATAAAGGTTGGTATTTGTAACCGTCTAGTGCAGGTGTAACCAGACTCTCATCTCTATTACAAGTAACAATAATGCCCCCTGGTTCTTAGATGGCATTTGTCATCAGAACTCAACATGCTTGAGAAAGCAGACCAGTATCATTATCCCCATTTTACAGATAGGAAAACTGGGGCACAGAGACATGTTAAGACTTGCCCCAAGTCTCCCCGCAGGCCCATGGCTGACCCAGGGACAGAACCTACATCTCCTAGATCCCAGTCAAGTGCTCTAGCCATTGCTAGTAGAGATACAAACAATGGGACAATCCCAGCACCCAACCAGTCAATATGGTCCACTTATTCTTACATGAGGAACTTCACTATAGCATTAAGAATCACATGATGTGGAACAACCTAGACACATGTTTCTGTTGAATGGCCCACCTGCTGTGCATAGCCCCGGAACATAGGGTTGACCAGTTTGATTCCATGAGACAAGCTGCTTGGAACAACATAGCTTGGGCTGTATGAGAACAAAAATACGTATCAGGTCTACAGCTAAGTTGCGTCATAAGCACAAGAGTGGTAGTCAGTTTAAAGGAAAGGGGGAAAAGAACAGTTATGTAGCTAAAAAAAGTCTGAACTTATCTGTTAACTAGAAATCAGAAGATTTCAGATGGTGTAAGGAATCTGCCTAGTATTTTGATCTGTTCTCCCTACTAGTGACACACTGATCTCCACTATACATTCACGAATGCTGTCTCGCTTTTAAACAGGTCAAGTGATGGAGCCTTCCATCATTTCCGTTGTCAGAATGTTCTGGTCTACTTATACATTTTGATTTCAAAGACAGAGTAGTGTCCACCTCAAACGTGGGGGGCACTTCCCAACACTCAGAACTCACAAGAGATAAAAAGTCTCAGAGAGCCGTGTTAGTCTGTAACTTTAAAACCATAAAAAGTTCTGATAAAGTGGGTCTTATCCACAAAAGCTCATGATCCTATATGAAACAAAAGATCCTATATATTTTTGTTAGTCTCTAAGGGCATGTCTACACTACAGTGCTATTTTGAATTAATTTAATTTGAAATAGTTAATTTGAATTAAGCTAATCTGAAATAACGCATCTGTCCACAAAAACTATTTCGAAATAGCATTTTGCTATTTAGAAATAGCACATCCACACTGAGTGGACCCTGAACCAAAGTTAAGGCTGGCCGGAACCAGTGCCGGCAGGGCATCAGGTTAGGACTTAGCGTGTGAGGCTAACTGAGCTCTGTGCTTAAAGGGACCCTACCCCCACCCCAGTCAGACAGATCTCAGGGTTCCCCGCTTGCTTGTCTACCTCGATGAGGGACAGCAAAGCAGTCCTGTCTTGGAGTGCCCGAACTCAGGACACCACAGCACTCGGCCACATGGAGCCAGAGTTACCCCATGGCACGCCGGTGCGTCTTGTGGGGTCGTTGCTATCAGCCTGGCTGCCATCCGGGGGGTTCATCGGGGGGCTGTCAGGATCCAGGAGGCCCTGAAGGAGAGCGTCCACCCCGAGGAGCCCTCAGAGCCTCCCTGGTCCTCCCCACTGGGGGCTCGTGCCCCATTCCTCCCTCACGTCCTTCCACTTACCCCTCCCTAGCCCCCCTTCCTGATGTCAAATAAAAGACACATATGTTCAAAAATAGAAACTGGGTTTATTGAACAAAACTGGGGGGGGATGAACCTCTGGGGAGACTGGGAAAAGGAGGTGGGAGAGGGGAAGAGAGAGGGTGGAAGAGGGGAGGGGGGAAACCTGGCAGGAGAGAGCTGGAAGGGGGAAACAAGGGGAAGAAGGGGGAGGGGAAGCTCAGGGCTGGGGGGGGGGCTCTCCAGACCAACTTGACTTTCATGCTAACCTGCTCCTGGGTTCGCATGTGGCCTTTGGTGGCCAGGTTCGCAGCTAACCTGCCATAGATGGCCGCATTCCTCCATCTAGTATGGAGATCATGGACATTGGGGGCATCCCCCCAAACCTGAATAAGGTCCATGATCTCCACCCTGGACCAGAAGGCGCCTCCACCTTCTCCAGCCCGTCAGGCTCCTGGGAGATGGCAGACTGCTCCTGGGGAGCAGTGGAGGACTTGCTGGCTCATGTTTTGGGGCCACTGGGTCAGAGGCCCCGGTGGCCACTGCTGGCTTTGGGCTGGCAGGCTTGGAGCTGGCACAGGCACTATGGACAGGGTTTACCCCTTTAATGGCTCCGGGGCTGGGGGAGAGGAGAGTAAGTTTTCCTGGTTGTGCCCAGAGTGGCCACCACGGCTCCCTGAGAAGGGCTGGAGGCCCCCTATTTCGAATTAAGTTTCTACACAGCACTTAATTCAAAACAGCTATTTCAAATTTGGTGTTACTCCTCATAGAATGAGGTTTACTAAATTCGAAATAAGGGCTCCACTATTTTGAATTTATTTTGAAATAGCGCTTTGCCTGTGTAGATGCTATTAAAGTTCATTCGAAATAATTGCTGTTATTTCGAATTAACTTTGTAGTGTAGACATACCCTAAGATGACACAGGACTACTTGTTTCACAAGAGATAAGTTACATTAAAATGACAATAAACTACTAAAAATTACTGCCATGACTTTACAGCTTAGTCCATTCCAAACCCACAATTTACTCATATTCTGTTGCCTGCAGTATTGTTGTAACAGTGTTGATTCCAGGATATGAGAGACACAAGCTGGGAGAGGTAATATATTTTATTGGACCAATTTCTGTTGGTAGAATAGCTGAGGCTTATCTTTTCCAGACCTGAAGAAGAACTCTGTGACACCCAAAAGCTGGTCTCTTCCACCCAAGTTGATCCAATGGAAGTTATTACTTCACCATCTTGTCAGTACTGTACTACGATAACACTAAATATAAGACACCATTTAGTTATTGGATTTGACTCTTGCAACTACTTACGTTTACAGGTAGGGAGCCAGATGCCCAGCTACTACACACCACATTATTTCAGTGGTGCTGCACCAAATTTTACCGTGTTTGTAACTTGGACTGGGGAGGGATGACTCACCGCTTCTTGTGCCAAACCTCAGAGACCAGTTTCTGGTAACTTTTGCACAATGCTGGCTTCTTATCCGTACGTACCAGCCCACCGCACTCCAGGAAAAACTGTGTGAGAGGTGGGCTAAAGAAGGAAAGATAGGAGATGTAAGTGGAGGGGAATTTCTTCTACGCATACATTTCAAGTCACACAAAGAGAGGAAATGCTCTAAGATTGCATTTTGAATATAACATTTAGTAAAAGGGGAAAGAGAGGGTGCAGCAAATGCATCCCTCTGAATCTTAACAAATCATTCCCTTTGGATAGAATGATTGGGAGCCCTCCTCAGCAAGCCTGAGAGATGCTGGAGCTTATTGCCAAGACAGAATGGAGAGAATTATTTGGGACTGAGGTTTTCAAGGCCACCTCATTTTGGACATGAAAAAGAAGTTGGAAAAAAAAAACTGTGCACGTGCACCTATAAAATATTTTATATTTAATATATTTTAAAGATCACAATGGAAACCAAAGGTCTGTAGCTCCACCACCAATCCAATGGTCTGTGTCCCATGGACTTGCCCAGTTTCCTTCTCTATATTTTTTGTCGCTTAAACATACTGTGATCCTGTTTTTTCCTTCTTCTCCCCCTCATTCTGCCCCTGGGCTGACTGATTTCCACACACAGAATTCCTGAAGGAAGTCTCCAATTGGAATTACCACAGTTTTAATTTGTAGTGGGTATTCAAGGCTACGTCTACACAACCAAGTTATTTCAAAATAATAACTCCCAAAATAATTATTTTGAAATAAGCTTATTCCTGCTTCACAAGCACGAGCTAGTATTTCAAAATAACGAAATAAGCTTATTCCTGCTTCACAAGCAAGAGCTAGTATTTCAAAATAAGCCCAATATTTCGAAATAACAGGCTTAGTAGTGTGGATGCTTGCCTTGTTATTTCAAAATAACTCCCCAGTGTAGACGTGCCTCAAGAGAACATCAACACAAAATGGTCTTGTTGCCTACCAATTAGAGAGAGCCTGAAGTGCTGCATTCATGTAACAGGAGTTCCCAAGGTTTTTCATTCCAGTAAGGCCTAGAGAAAGTGCAAGAGACAGGAGACAGGTCACATTTCAGTGCCCCTTCCTTTTCAGAGCCTCCACATTTTACATTCTACCCAAGATGAAAGGGAATCCGGCTTGTCCTTTGCAGATGAGTTTAGCATCTCAAACCTACTGAAATCACAATGGTTCTCTGGGAAATCAGAGTGTAAAGCTTAGAGTCCAGAGTTGCTGTTATAACAGGCTCCATAATTCAAAGTGGCCTTACCTCTTGGTTTCAGATCATCCTCCTCCGATTCGGATTCCCCTTCATCAGCCACTGCAATTGGAACTGCCTTCAGAGGGTGAGCAGGCAACGGAGCATCCTAGATTAAAGGCAGAGAAATGAGCATCAATGGCAGCTTTGACCATCAAGGAGGACACACATGATCTGTGCCCATTTATTCAGCCACTAAGTGGGTACACCAGTAACGAAGGCACTGACAATACACAGCTGCAATAACCCCTTTACCTTCCCTGATGGCATTACCTCAGTCGTATGTGGAGGTTGTCCAAGGAGTACCCTTAGTGACTTCAAGATGTGCCACAAGAGACCCAAGGGACAGGCAATAGCATCTGCAGTGGGCATATTTCTAGTATGGCAGTTAACGCTTCTGCAATTCACCCCAGACGTGGCTGCCCTTCAAAAGTGGCTAAAGACAGACCCATTGCATATACATGCATTTACTTTTAAAGCCCATTAGGAATTGGTCTGGATGAAAGTTGCTAAGTAAATGCATGATTATCTTGATGGAAGGCATCTTCCTTCAGATTTGAAAGCTCTCGTTGCAACGACAGCATGTGCAATGGTAGGGAGTCCTGACCTAGTCAAACAAAACCCTTCTGAGCATTCCCTTCCAGCCCATTCAATGGTAGCTTCCTGACTTATGGGGTGGAAGACCCACCTGTTCACTGAATTTGGCAGGTGGGGATGGAGTATGCACTGCCAGCCTCTGGTCCAAGAATACCTCTTTTTCACAGGCATAACACCACACGCGGAACGTGGTCAGGTTCACTGTCAGGTTATGCTTTTTGGCCTAAAAATCAAAACAGTGAGAACCACAAATTATAAAAGTCATAATCATCTGAGAGTCTGGAACCTACATGCCATAGGCATTACATATACGCTGTTTGAGCATGAAAATAGCAAGGAATGGCTATAATCAGTAGTGATGCGATAGTGTATCTGTGTAAACACTGAGCTCATCAGTTAACCCTCACAGTTACACGCAGCCCCTCCCCCCCGCATGCTGCTGCCTCTGACATCAGTAAGTGCCAACGCTCTGTGGATCAGAGTTTAGTGATTCAGAAATCCAACCCTGTCTATCCTGATGAAAGGGAGAGGATTACACAGAATAGCTCACCTGTGCGTGAAGGGTGCTATGATCCGCAAAGGATTCCCCACACCCAACATAAGGACAAGCAACCTAGAAAGAGAGGAAACCGTGGGAGAACAGTCTTGATATGGCAAGATAAACCCACAATAACATGAAAAGGGGGGTTTGTGACCCCATAGGAACCAGGAGCTGCATCTGTGCTGGCCTTCTGCACTTCATAAGCATGCTTTGTAACATAAGTCACAGCATTACAAACAACTTGGCACTACGTAAAAAAAACTGTGCCCACCCTTGCTCACAGGACTCTATGAAACCCCCAATCCATCTCATTAAAGTTTGGTTTTTTTAATCATACTTGAGTGATAAGAGTGCCTACTGATCAATCAGTTGTAAAAATAAGTTGCTTGTCTAACAAAATCCAAACAGTAAGTTAAGAGGCAGTCAGTTCACCCATGTCCATCTTGTCACCTCTTCTCTTTCCACTAGTGATGTTAAACAGTAAGCATACTGGTAAGCAAGTATGCTTACCAGTTAACCATCCCTGCCAGTAAACTCCGGTGGCAGCCAGCAACGCTGGGCTGGAGCAGCCCCAGCTATGGAGGGGCCAGGTGGCGAGCTGAGTAGCAGGACTTAAGGTAAAATGGTTAATGAGTTAATAGCTCTCATTTAACCAGTTAACAGTTTTAACGTCCTAAACAGTAAGCATACTGGTAAGCAAGTATGCTTACCAGTTAACCATCCCTGCCAGTAAACTCCGGTGGCAGCCAGCAACGCTGGGCTGGAGCAGCCCCAGCTATGGAGGGGCCAGGTGGCGAGCTGAGTAGCAGGACTTAAGGTAAAATGGTTAATGAGTTAATAGCTCTCATTTAACCAGTTAACAGTTTTAACGTCCCTATAAAATCTGTTGCATCTTGTTTTCTTTCTTCTATTACAATTATGTTTTGGAAAGGTCTAGACATCTATCTAAAAAGAATAACTTTCCCCTGCAGTTACAGGTATAAGATCTATCAGTCTCATACTTCTGGGGATACTGCAACTTCCTGAACAACAGTGTAAAAACTAGCACAATTTTTTTCAACTTTGTTCCACTGCTCCTACTAAGAGTTCTTTGAGGCAAGGACTAACTTTTAGTCTGATTACACAGCACACAGGGTCTGGGAAGTACCATGATGCAAACTGATCAAAACTATCATAATGGAAGTTGATATTCACAGGCAACATAGGGCAATCCCTGCCTGATGCTTGGGGATTCATGGCAGGGAAAAATGATTTTCTTTCTGTTACTTGCAGAGCAGCCCCAGAACTACCACAGCACCAGTACTGGTGCTTTTGCAGCTCCTGCACATAAAACTTCCCAAGAAAAAGCAGCAGAATGAAACTGACAAGGATTGTGAGCTCCTCAGGATGTGTGACTTCCCCCATGTTTGAAAAATGCCATGTGCATTTGTTACCTGGGAATAATTTTTGATAGTACAAGTGACTGACAGTTGATAAGACAGTTACACACAGGTGCACAGTCAGGTGCACTGTGGGAATCTTCTAACTTTCTCTAGAGCAGTGCTTCTCAAACTTCCCAGGTAAACAACCCTTTATTCCAACGCAAATATTTTCATGACTTTATTACATTTTTACTCTTGCTTTTATAGTAAATGTATCCAGGATAACAATGAAAGGCCTATATAATTTGTGAGTGTCTGTTTTGAGAGGTGTCACAGAGAACACTTGACCTTGAACAGTAAGAGCATGGGGAGAGTGGGAAAAACAAGACAACATTTTCAATGCCTTGTACCTCCTGCCCCCAATTGCCTGGCGATATCTGCCCTCTGGGGAAGCAACTCATTGAGAAACACTACTCTACAATACTACTTTTTAAGTGACAGGGACCAAAATCAAAGCTGGTGTAAGTAGATGAAGCTCCACCACAGTCAATGATGACATCACTGCATAGAATGTTTTAGTTTGGTTTGTTTTAATGTCAATAGTGACATATCTGCTTACATCAGAGCTGAATAAGGCCTAGGTTCCAGACTAGATGACATTCTGAGTCCATTCCAGCTCTGATCTTATTTAAGGCAGCTCTTTTTCATTCCCATTTGTCTTGTTCCTCCCCTTTCAATATCAACACTAATGTTCTCTGGCTCCATACACTTTAAATCTCTCTAAAAGCCAAAGGATCCAGTTAATCACCAGGTGCTTAAAAGCAGATGGTAGTTAGTATCACTTCAGTGTTCATTCCCGGGGGGTTCCAGGAGGAAAGCATTTGTGAGGGGTGAACAGAATAGGCATAGATGTGAAGCAGGCGTATTTTAGGATTTGATCACTGGCTTGCATTTTCCAGGGATATAATTGAAAACTGATGGACACTTTTTCTGGGCTTTCTTTCTTCTATTGCTTCTTTCTATGTTCACTAGACACTATATGGTTTCAGACCTAATTTCATCTCCAAAGGTGATAAGTCAGCCTGAAACAGCAAGTACAGCATTGTACTAAGAAACAATATAAATAAAAAAACCAAGAAGATCCACTATGCAGCCCACACAAATAGCAAGTCCTTTTTACCTGCAAGCAAGCCCAGAGGTTTGGTCCCGCAGCTCTGCACGACTGGCAGGTTCCCTACAACCATAGATAAAGAAAAAGTCACGTTTATTAGCTGGGCCTTGATTCTGAGGGGAGCATGAGTTGCCACTCTTATTACATGAGTTAACTTTTTGGGACAGAGATTAAAAACTCGTTTGGCTGCACAAGTTATTTTTCCCAGTACTATGCATTCCACCTAAACTAAATGTATACTTTAAAATACCTGGATAAGAGACAGCATTGAGCAGGATTAACAGTCATTCAGAAATGCAACAGTGAAGAGGGCTTTGAGCACTACCCAGAGAGTAGAAATGTTAGGTTTTTAATTTAATTCCATCAGCCACTTCTACTCATTCAAAAATTCCAGCCACACAGATGCTTCCTTTCATATTACCCCTTTTCTGAAGTAATCCCATGAGCCTTGAAAATGTATTAGCTACCAAATGAAACCATTTCAGGATTGAAGACTTAAATTGGTAATGAGTGAGATAGACAGATCAACAGTACTTAAGCATAAATGCAAGAGTTCTGTGCTTCCCCTTACGCTCTCTCATAAAGACAGCCTCTTCATGTGATTTAATTGTATTTCTGAAGTACAAATGGCTAACAAAATGTCATGATGAGGCACAATCAAAAAGGTATCAGTATTTGAAATTCAATTTCCACATCCCACTTGTGAATACGGACAATTTTTGCATATTAGGGCAAACCTCACCCCAATTACACACAAGAGGTAAACACTGCAAGAAACACTTTCTTTACCTTGGATTTGAGCAGCAAGTCATCCTTGCTGACCTCACCTATGGAATCCAGGTGAGGACAAACATCTCTTGTGTCTCCCATTGTCACCTAAAGTTCACCTACAGAAGTACAAAAATCACAGGATGACTCCTCAGTTTGGTTCAATGTCAGACTTGATGGTAAAGACAACAGGAAACTAAAGGGATATACTTTTGAGTCATATATTTCAATTGTCATAATCCCTATCATTCTAAAATGGAAGCATAAAGTAATAATCTCAAACATTCAAACAATGACATTTTACAACTCCCCTGTAATTAGGTAAAACACAGATCCCCGACTGTACGTCTGTTCCAACGCAAGGAAGAGGGAACTAAACGAGTAAATCTTAGAAATTAAATTAAAAGCTTAGAGATCAAACACACAAAAGCACCAATCTTGATACCAGGTAACACTGTTCAACCCTGCAGTTGTGCTAATGCAGAAGAGCTCATTGTTGAGTAGTGGCATTATGATATCAGAGGTAAGTGGCTGATGCAATGGAAAGAGGCAGGGAACATAAAGTTAATTATTGTTTGTACAATGTGCCAGCGGAACATAAAGTTAATTATTGTTTGTACAATGTGTCAGTCCAAAAATGTGGTCCAAAAATGTATTAAATACTAAATATACAGGCCCTCCAACGGGGGGAGGAGCAAAGGGGACAACCGCCCTAGGGCCCGCAATTCAAAAGAGCTCCAGGCTCCTGGCTGCCGCCATGGCAGGAGCAACAGTAACTAGAGCCAACATTGCTGCTAGAGCTACATCGGGTGCCTGGGCAGCTCTTGCCACACTCTGGGCAGCGCTGAGGGCTGGCTGCCCCCAGCCTCCTCCCCACACACACACACCTTACCTGGGGTCCCAGCAAGTCTGTCAGCCCCCTGTAAATATACATGCCCGCTTTAAGGGCCACAACTGACAATTCAGTTACATCCACACTAACCAAAGATTTGGATTTGCTGATTCATTCCTACCTCAAAGGAAGATGATAATGTGACGAACCACTGAGTACTCTCTTCTGAAGGCTCAAAGTCCCAGCTTCTCTGGATCACACAGCATCGTTGGATGCTATAAAAAATACTAATCCAGTTAAAAAGAAAAAAATGACATATTTTATACATGAATTGACATGTATCATTTAATTAAACCTCTTCCTAGTCCACACACGGAAACAAGAAAAATCATGTAAGCTATATGTCATGACTACATTCTTAGTAATTAAACCAAGGATGGCTTGAGGGACTAGACTTTTAATGCAGGAGACCAAGTAAGCTGCCTAGCTGAAGCTAGAGCTATTAGTCACTAATCACCACAAATGTACTCACTAGGGATGTAAGCCAGCAGTTGAGTCGACTACTCAGCTACTCACATTCCCCACCCTTGCTGCCTCTGTATCAGAGGCAGCAAGGGGTGGACAGAAGCAGGAGCCTGTGGTAGGGGGAGCCGGCTTTTAAGCAGCATAGGAGCGGGGCAGGGAGGGTGCCAGGAAGCAGCCTGCGTCCACAGAGGTCCCAGACAGGGTCTG